AGTTATGGCACACAACCATCAGTTGAGGATGGAGAAGCGGATGGCAGGAGTGGCGGATCAGTGTCTCCAGTGACTGCGTCGTTGAGTATGGATACGGCCGCCGGACCAGTGTACGGTGACCAACAAGTGCAACAAAGCACTGAGCCTTCCGCTGAAAATGACGACGTGCGGTCCACTGGAACCGGAACCACCGGCGCGGAGGAAAGCCTCAGCCTCGAGGCGGGGGACGGAAATTCCGAGAGAACAATGAGCTCAGACAGCAGCCTCACTCCTTCAAAGAGTGACGCCGAACCGAGATCCGCGGAGGACACCGACAACATCTCTTGGACTGAGAGGGCTGAATTTTCTGTTGAGGACAGCAAGGAGGTGCCACAGACGGTCGACACCGCACCGGGCAACACAAGCACCACGCCTGGGGAAACCAAGATCCCGTCGGAGTCCAACGCAACAACCCCCTCGGACACTGACATTTTGCTTGAGAAGGGGCATTTGGGCGAGTTGTCGGGCATGGCTCTATTTGGTGACAGCACCGTGCATGGGTATGTGTCTCGGGTGTTGTTGCTGCTGCTTCTGGGGCTGTGGGGCATTGCGGCTCTCTGTTGAATGAATTGGGGAGAGAAAAATTGCGAAATTCTGTGGAGCAACAACTGAGCGGCATCCCAGCAATACTCAATGGGTTTTGTTAATTCCATTTTTTTTCTTTTTTTTTCTTTTTGCTTTCCTTGTTTTTTTCTTCTTTTTTGCAAATCACTTCCCTTCTTTTGCTTGTTGCCTTAGGGCAATCACTATGGAAGTGTTTTTTTTTTTACTTTTCCCTCTTTTCAATTGTTTCTTGCTGCACTCTTCCTGCGAGGGGTGCCGTGTGTTTCCCGCCCAACTGCTCCACTCGCACACCCACCGACACGCTCATGACGACGGCCCTGTGCGCCTCGCCTGCTGCACGCATGAGGAGGGGCCGCGACGAACGGCGCGCTGAGGGAGCCGTGACGTGTGGGCGTGCGGCGAGGGCCGGTGGGGCGGAGCACACATTTCTTTCCCTCTTGTTTTCTTTTTTGCGGTCAGGGCGGACAGACACCCGCAGCGCCACACACACAGCCACGCCCTGCCGCCGTGTTTTTCTTTATGGATTTGTTTTGCTTTGCGTGTTCACTTCTCGTGCGTCACACCCTTCGGGGTTGGCCTCGTGAGCATTTTTCTCCCCCTGATGATTTTTCTTTTGCTGCGCTCACTCTCCCGGTGGAGAGACGCGACTCCCGTCATGTCTGCGTGCTTCTCTCATCTTTCACAAACATACGAGTGACTGTGCTCTGCGGGCCGCACTCGCACGCCGATGAGAAGGCTGAGGGGAGCAGCAACCCGCAGATGACCCCTTGAAATATAAACGATGTGCGGACGCATGGAGGTCGGATGGTTGAAGGAGATGTATCTTTCTAAATTTACCTTGTGGTCAAAATAATCAGGCAGTTTGGTGGGACCACACGCTAACCAGGTGGATTTTTGTGTTTTTTTCATTTCATTTTTTCTTTTTTTTGAGTGGAACAGTAATAGAGGACGACATTTTCTTTTTTTTTTTTTTTTTTTTTTTTTGTGCGGGGGGTTAAAATGTGAGGAACGGGAAATTTTTTGTTCTGTTTTTAAATGAATGTTGTTTGATTTTCCACTTCTTTCCGCCGTGGACGCCTGCTGTGCATTTGTGTTTGTGCGTCCCTTCAGATGCTTTACGCCTCTTCTTTTTTTCTCTTTCCTTTTTTCATACTTTGTTGAGCGTGGCAGTGGGCGCACACAGCCACACGCGCAGGACACACACATTGCAGTGCAGGTGGATGCTTCCTTTGTACTTGGTGCTGGCAGTTGCGTGCAGCTGCCGCCTCCTTCCGTGGGCGTGAGGGGAAAGGAGGGGAGAGAGAGCGCGCATTGCGAGTCTCTTTTTCTGTTGGCGTGATGCACCGCGTGTGACCGCGTGGGGTGAGGGCCGCAAACCATTGAGGACGGGATGGCGGTGTAAATTCTGGGTGCCGCGTCGTGGATGGGTGAGGATCCGCCTCCGCGTGTGGCTGGCGGGGTGAGGCCCTTGGCGTTGTTTTCTCCGCCTGTCGTCTGTTCATTCCGTGTGTGTTTGTGCTGCTTGTTGCTTTTTCCCCCTCTCACCCTTTCCTGCTGTGCTTCTGCGTGGAGTGGCCGCATGCTTACTAGGCCATGTGGATTGTGAGTGCCTCTTGACGGCATCCATTCATCTCCCTCCGCCTGTCTGTCTGTCTTCCCCTGTTGGGTGTGAGGCGTATTGCACCGCGTGAGGGCTGGCCCGCGTACACCGACGGTCCGCCGTGACGCCTGTGATGGCCGGTGCAGAGTGGCGGTGCTCGCTGTCTCATCTCTTTACTTGGCTTGTTTTCCCTTTTCCCTCTACCTCTTGAACAGACACGCTAGGAAAGCAAGCAAACAAGCGCTAAACGCTACTGTGAAATTCGAGGGCTCTGAAAGGACCAACAACAACACACACACTGCCCACACACAGATATTTATATGCTCTCACGTGTTGCTGCAGTGAAGGCACCCCGCACACACAACCGTCGCCGCGTGACCGGATCCAGCGGAAGGAGGAGGGAAGGAAGAGAGAGTGAGCCGCAGAGGCCCAACATGTCCCGGCGTGTGTTTGCTTCTGCGGTGCTGCTCCTATTTGTCGTGTTGATGTGCTGCAGTGGAGGTGCACACGCTGAGCAGGCAGGGGCCGCTGTTGATCCTTTTAAAGGGACGCCGCCGATATCATTTGCTAATTGGAAGGAGTTTAAGGAGGACGGCGGCAAAATCACCTCGCTCCGTGTTCCTGGCCTTGTTAAAGTGGGTGATGATGTATTTGCCGTTGCTGAAGCGCAGTGCGGGGAAAAGGATGGAGCCGACAGCTGTGCTGGGATTGTCTCAAAGCACCTGGATATAAGTGATGACTCAATGGATATTTCGACGTCGGGTATAAGTTTGTTTTGCATGCAGCTTGTAGACACCGCCGCGAATAATTTTGGGACAACGGAATTGTTGCGGCCAACGACACTTGTAATTGGGGAGAGTGTCTACATGCTCCTGGGAAACTACAGTCGTAAAAAGCAGCAGATTCAAGGTAAGAATGAGCCAGGCCTTTTACTCGTGAAGGGAACTGTCACGGTGGATGGTGGAAAAAACAAGAAACTTGTGTGGAATGAGACCCATGTGGTAAAGCCTCAAGGCATACGATATTCTCATTCCTTGACCGAGTTAATTGGCGGTGGAGGATCGGGTGCTGTTTTGCGTGACGGCGCGCTTGTGTTTCCCATGCAAGCCAAAGGCAAGGATGGAACCAGCGTTTTACTGTCCATTAGTTTTAACCCGTCAGACAACAAATGGGAGCTTTCATACGAGACGCCTGGTAAGGGCTGCAGGGATCCAACCATGGTGAGGTGGGAAAAATACGAATACGGCGAAGAACTCTTCATGATGGCTCATTGTGCTGGAGGCTACTATGACGTTTACAAGTCCACTCCGCATGGAGTCAATTGGCATGGACACTTCCAACCAATTACCCGCGTGTGGGGCAACTCACACAATCGAACAGGGTACGGTGTCCAGAGTGGATCCACCACCGCAATCATTGAGGAAAAGGAGGTGATGCTCGTCACCGCGCCGGTGTATGCGGAGGACAATGAAGGTGGAAAAGGTCGGCTCCATCTTTGGGTGACGGACAAGGCACGTGTGTATGATGTTGGGCCGGTATCCCGTGGAGAAGATGACGCTGCCGCGAGCTCGCTGTTGATGAAAGAGAAGAATAAGGAGTTGATTTCACTGTACGAGAACAAGAAGGACGGAGCATACAGTCTTGTTGCTGTGCGTCTGACCGAGAAACTGGAGCGGGTAAAGGAAGTGGTGAAGACATGGAAGGATTTGGACAGCGCCTTGCAATCCTGCAGTTTCGTTTCCAGTGGCACTGTTGACGCGCACAAAAAGGGTATGTGCAATGGTCCTGTTCCCACTGACGAGCTTGTTGGCTTCTTGTCTGGTAACTTCTCTGATAACACATGGAGGGACGAGTACCTCGGCGTGAACGCAAAGGTGAATAATGGGGAGAGAAGGGTTCCCAATGGATGGACGTTCAAAGGACCCGGAGCATGGGCGGAGTGGCCTGTTGGCGACATGGGGCAGACTGTGCCGTACTACTTTGCGAACAACAAGTTCACTCTTGTGGCGACGGTTTCCATCCACGAGGTGCCGCAGAGTGGCAGCATTCCTTTGATTGGCGTGAGGATGAATGACACCGACAGCACGGTCCTCTTTGGTCTGTCGTACACCCATGACAAGAAGTGGTTGGCCATACCTGAGAATTCCGGTAATGTGGAGGATGTTGATTATTGGGAGCCAAACAAGACGTATCAGGTGGTACTGCGAATGGATTTCTATTCTTGGACTGTCTTTGTAGATGAAAAGGAAATTCACAACACGAAATACAATACGAGTCTGTTTAACTCGCACAGGATCTCACACTTCTACATCGGTGGGGACAGTAAGCACCAAAGTGCAACGGGCGGCCACGTGACTGTGACCAACGTCATGCTGTACAACGAGAAACTGTTTGGAGATGATCTGCACAAACTCCACGCCAGCAAAGTCAATATTCCATCACTTGGTGCTGAGAAACAACCCACAGAACAGGCGGCCAACACGGGCGCTTTGGTTGCTTCCGAGTCAAAGAGTGAAGAAATCACCGCCAGCTATGCGAAATTGAATGAGGATGATCTTGATGAACAAGAGAAAGAAATCGTCCATGATCTGGTGCCTGTAGCGTCTTCTTCCACGGTTGCCGGGGGATCCTCTGTTTCCGAACCTGCCACCGCAACGGAGATCGCAGGGAACTCTCGTCCAGAGGACAATGTCCAGCTTTCCGAAGACAAAACGTCTCCGCAAACCACGCCGCATGAAGCGAAGGAATCGATGCAACGGGATTCAGATGTGCAGC